GATCAACACTGGGGCTAACCGAGTTTGTTGCTGCTTCTCTCTTTGTTCAGTGAGCAGCGTTTGTTCTTCATGTTGTTCCAATGTTCCTTCCTATACTCTGTTTCTTGGCTCATTTTCATGAATTTCAAAGAGCGTTTTATTCATTTTGATAATTTCTTGTAAACTTTAAAAATAAAAGCTTTTTCTTTAATTTTGTCCATTTTCTGAATATAATTTCAGTTTCACAAATGTTTGAGTACTTGAAAACATTTTCCAAATTTAGTATAAATACAGGCTGTATCAGTGATTAGGGCTGTCAATTAATCGCAGTTAATTCACATGATTAACTCAAAAAAATTAATCGCAGTTTTAATTGCACTGTTAAACAATAGAATACCAATTGAAATTTATTAAATATTTTGGATGTTTTTCTGTATTTTATATATATCTTGTATTTTCTGTGGTAATTGAAATCGAAGTGTATATTTTGATTACAAATATTTTCACTGTAAAATGATGAACTGAAAAATACTATTTTTTGTTTACCTCATACAAGTGCTGCAGTGTAATCTCTTTATCATGAAAGTGCAACTTACAAATGTACGTTTTTTGCATAACTGCACTCAAAAATAAAACAATGTAAAACTTTAGAGCCTACAAGTCCACTCAGTCCTACCTCTTGTTCAGCCAATCGCTAAGACAAACAAGTTTGTTTACATTTACAGGAGGTAATGCCTCCCTCTTCTTATTTACAGTGTCACCAGAAAGTGAGAACAGGCATTTGCCTGGCACTTTTGTAGCTGGCATTGCAAGGTATTTACATGCCAGATATGCTAAACATTTGTATGCCCCTTCATGCTTCGGCCACCATTCCAGAGGACATGCTTCCATGCTGATGACGCTCGTTAAAAAAAAATGCATTAATTAAATTTGGAACTGAACTCCTTGGGGGATAATTGTATGTCCCCTGTTCTGTTGTATCCGCATTCTGCCATATATTTCATGTTATAGCAATCTCAGATGATGACCCAACACATGTTGTTCATTTTAAGAACACTTCCACTGCAGATTTGACAAAACGCAAAGAAGGTACCAATGTGAGATTTCTAAAGACAGCTACAGCACACAACCCAAGGTTTAAGAATCTGAAGTGCCTTCCAAAATCTGAGAGGGACGAGATAGGGAGCATGCTTTCAGAAGTCTTAAAAGAGCAACACAAGGAAACTACAGAATCCAAACCACCTAAAAAGAAAATCAACCTTCTGCTGGTGGCATCTGACTCAAATGATGAAAATTCACGTGTTGATCCTCACTGCTTTGGGTGGTTATTGAGCAGAACCTGTCGTCAGCATGGACACATGTCCTGTGGAATGGTAGGTTGAAGCATGAAGGGACGTATGAATCTTTAGCGCATCTGGCATGTAAATTTCTTGTGATGCGGGCTACAACAGTGCTATGAGAGAGCCTGTTCTCACTTTCAGATGACCTTGTAAACAAGAAGCAGGCAGCATTACCGCCTGCAAATGTAAACAAACTTGTTTGTCTGAGCGATTGGCTGAATAGGAAGTAGGATTGAGTGGACTTGCAAGCTCTAAAATTTTACTTTTTGTTTTTTAATGCTGTTTTTGTGCATAATTCTATATTCATAAGTTCTGCTTTCATGATAGAGATTGCACTACAGTACTTGTATTAAGTGAATTGAAAAATATTATTTCTTTTGTTTTATTACAGTGCAAATACTTGTAAAGAAATAAATATAAAGTGAGCACTGTACACTTTGTATTCCATGTTGTAATTGAAATCAATATATTTAAAATGTAGAAAACCTCAAAAAATTTTAAATAAATGGTATTACTAATGTTTACCCTTGCGAATAATCGCAATTAATTTTTTTAATAGCTTGACAGCCCTAAATATGACCATATATTATAATTATACTTAATTATATCTATTTTAATCAGTTTATGTATAGTTTAATTATTTTTATTTATATATGGTACCTGTAGCAATATAAACTTTAAAAGCTTGATGTTTTTAAATTTCCTGGCTTCTTTCATTAAAAATCCTTTAGAAATTTCCTTCATGTTTCTAAGTCTGGTGAATAAGTTGTATAATTCCCCATTTAATAATTAGTCCAGCAGACATTAAAGTATTAAATAATGAAAATAACCATCTTTGATCCTATAATATTGCCATGCCATTGTTCACCTTAAGATGACATCAGGCTGTTTATAATAAGAGTGCTTATATTTAGAAATGTAAAATAGTTTCAGTTAAGGAAGTAATAAATTTACAAAACTTAATAGAAAGCATCATGTTCCCTCACTTCTGAGCACTGTAGCCCTAATCGAAAGACCATTGCAGTCCATGGAAAAACTCTCATTAACATCAGTGGTCTTTGGATAAGATCTTATGGGACCTAAATTATTTTCACTTTTATTTAAAACTCTTTTGTAAATATTTCATTGTTTTTTGTTGTTCTAGCATCCAAAGGGTCCAAACAGGATGAAGGCTCTTTTGTGCTGTAAAATCTCCTGTAAAGGCACAGTGCTTGTCCTGTAGGAATCTTGTAATTTTAGAAATATCATTTTTAACCAGTAATTTTTACATCTATTTTGAGAGCTTCACTTCCACGCCTGTCTGTAAAGCACCTGGCACACTGTTAGTGCTCTACCAATAATAATACTTCTAGTTTGGCTATATTTTAATTTTTGTGTCAAAATCTTATAAATCTTTTTTCCATGAACTTTGAATGGAAGTAAGATTGAGAATGTAAAATGAGTAATAAAATCAATGCAGTGCACATTCAATATGCTGTATTGTTTCTGTATGTTAGGTAGTATGGGTATGTAGAGTTTGTTTTCAAAAGTAGATAGTGTAAACTTCTGTTTTTCATGTTGTTATAAGTACTTACTTTTTTTATAATCTTCCGAAGTTGCCTGTTAAGCGCTGTCTAGGCTAGGTAATTGAACCGTTGCTGAAAATGGTTTGTCCCTACACCAGTATGGAAAACAGCCTAGACTGGCCAAAACTATTTTTGTTTTTTTCCTACGAAAATTTTCCACTGTTGCTACCAGTTGCTTAGCTTTATTCGTCGCAGTCCTAGCTGGTTGTGTATATGGTCTTGTGTAAATAGGGAAGTTATTCTGGAATATAATAGGGTGTGAATTTAAAGTGCAAGCTACTTCAGAATAATATCCCATGTGGGCACTCATATTTCAGAATAACGGTGTCCACATAGGGAGTTACTCCCACATAGCTGTTGCAAACTAGGTTATTCTGCAATAGCTATTCCAGTCAATTTTGCCAGGTTCACAAGCCCTAAATTTCAAGATGCTATAGTTCCCACTTTGGCAGTGTTTATCACTGCCCCTAATATTTTATTGTCCCATCCTGAGAGATTCAGTTCGCATGGCCACACACCCGTAGCTTATACTGTTGAGATGGGCATACCATGAGTAGTTGCATGATGACGACTTTCTCAGATGGCAGTTTCTATAGTGTGTCCCCCAGCCCTCTTTTCTGTTTCAGTCCTGAGGATGATACACATCACTTGTTTATCCTTTGTTTGGATGGAAGGGGAAAAGTAATTTATCACCTGTTTGCTCGCCTGTCCATTTCTGTATTGTAGAGCTCCTGTCACAAATTCTCTAGTCATGACTTAGATTTAGTGGGTTTTTGCCATAGGGAAGGGTCTCTCTGTTTCTTTCTGGTTGTGTTCCCCTTGCTTTCTGTTCCCATTCTTGTTAGCCAGTTAATGAAGGAAGAGCTGTGATATGTGTTCCCACTTCGTGTTTTACTCCAGGGATAAACCCATGGCTAATCTGTCTGTCTTTTCTTTTATGAAGAACTCAACACATTCTGTAAAACAAAACCTAGGATAAAAAATTCCATTAGAACAGTGGTTCTCACACTGTGGGTCAGGACCCCCAAAGTCAGTTGCAACCTTGTTTTAATGGGGTCGTCAGGGCTGGCATTAGACTTGCTGGGGGCCAAAGCCCAAACTTTACCACTTGGGGCTGAAGCCAAATCCCAAGGACTTCAGCCCTGGGTGGCAGGGCTCAGGTAACAGTTTCCCCCACCTGGGGCTGAAGCCCTTGAGCTTCTGCTTTGGCCCCCCACCTCGGCCTGGGGCAGTGGGGCTTGGGCAGTCTCAGGCTTTGTCTCCCCCCCCCCCGCCCCGGGGTCATGTAGTAATTTTTGTTGTCAGAGGGAAGTCGCGGTGCAATAAAGTTTGAGAATCCCAGCAATAGGACCATAAAAAGTAGCAGAGCTTGATGCCTCCTTCATTTATAGAGTTTTATATAAGCTATGGCTTGTAAAGGGAGCAGTAACAGAATGCAGAAGGATTATGGGACCTGAACCTTCAATGCAACTTGAATAAATTGAAAATAATATGTTTTGTGTTAAGTTGGCCATAATAATTTAGTACCAGTGGTTGCCAATGTGTCCTTTGCCAGCAGTGTGTATTCCTATCAGTGGGCTGCTGATTCTTGGTGTCAAGGGGTTAATTGGAACTTTTGAAGATCAGGTATAGTCACCAACAGGGGGACAGGCTTTCGCATCTGACTTGTTATAGGCATCATTCTTGCCATGATTTTAAAATGTTAAGATCACAACATTTTCAGCCTTGGTTCTGAAAAGTTAACACCCATCCAATGGGAAGTTAATAAAATCATAATGTATTTCATTTGCTACTAGGGAAGAGCAGCATTGTGACCAACTTTCTAGGTATGTTTTCAATAAAAAAGTAGTCTTATACTGTCACAGCAGCTTTCTCCCTTGGAACTGTACATTTGGCAGGAAATTATCAGAATTAAAAATTGTGGGAGCTTAGAATCGCTTCACTAAAACAAGTACCAGTAGTTTTGTGATTGGTTTCTTTCAGTTAGCAACTGGTAGTAAAAAGAGGCGGGGCGGAAATACAAGAAGAGAGAATGAAAATAGGAGGGAAATAATTCCAAAATTTTTGATGTATGTATTTTACTGTAACTGTTGCTTCATTTATTTTATTCTTTCAGCTGTGTTAGAAGAACTAGTTAACACTGGACGTCTAAAAGGCACAGTGGTTGGTGGGAGGCAGGATAAGGCTGTGTTTGTTCCAGACATCTATGCCAGAACACAGAGCAACTGGGTGGACTCCTTTTTCAAGCAAAATGGTTACCTAGGTAACTGATCTTTATTCTTTATGAATAGAAGGTCTTTTTGGAAATTGATCTAGGTAACTAAAAGAGCCAAGTGAATCCAGTGTCTGAGACTTATAAGAATAATTGAAGTGCTACTACTGTAGTTGGTATTTCTTTGGTAAAGGCTTGTTACTGTCTTCCAAAATACATGCATACAGTATATATCTGCATAATTGCAGTGCCTAGATTTGCAAGCTGTTCTGTGTTTGTACTTTCCCACATAGAAAGCGCAGTTGAGCTAAAGTCCTGCACATTACTTTAATTATGAGCGAACGCTTTGAATGTTTTAAACGCCAACAGATACCCTGTAAATGTATCTTTATTTATCAGGAGGATAGTTGATGACACTTCTGTTGTTCTGATGACACAAATGTGGATCAAGTGTAAACAAGTGCATCTAGGTCTGCAGAAAGATTACCCCAATGCCTCTGCCGCAGCTTGAAAAAGAAGCTGCAGAGTGAAAACTGACCAGCTTTTATACCTTTAAATTGAATGAGTTGTGGCAGCATGGGTATTTTTCACCCTGGCTGAGTAGACTTAGCCTATATGCTACTTATGTTTAGGTTACATTTCTCAGATACTCTCCTTTCATGTACAAAGTAAGGTTTGAAATTGTATTACTGGGGTTCATGGGCATCCAATCAGTGGAATAGTTTCTAAGTACAATGTTTTTTTCATGAGGCACTGTTGTCTCTTCAAGAGTTTAGTATCTTCCCTGTGTGTGTATTTGTTCTTCGAAATGTTGATTTCTTGAAGGCCCAATGAATGGGTAAAACTTAACAAACTTTTTACGGTTTTACAGAATTTGATGCGTTGTCCAGACTTGGCATCCCAGACCCTGTGAACTACATAAAGAAAAGATACAAGTCCACAAAACTCCTATTTCTGAAAGCAGCCTGTGTTGGTCAGGAAATTGTGGATCAGGTAGAGGCTTCGGTCGATGAAGCCATCAGCTCTGGAACGTGGGTGGATATAGCGGTATGCTTCCCCCTCCCCACCCCCCAGTGGAATGTATTTCTTCCGTTTTTTGTCCATGTTATCCAATAATGTTACTTTAAAGCAGAATTTTCAAGTCACTTAGATCTAATAACCAGGGAAACACACAACTGCTGCTTCACCATCTTAAACTTGCCTGAAGCTCAGTCAGGCTTTGTTGGTAGACTTCTAAGGCAAACTCATTTTTCTTAATCAGTACAGAGCCATTGCTCCAGTATTGTATTAGGGAACACTTTACTTCTGGAGGTGCCGTTTGTCAGATAAGATTTTTAAAACAGACTGTTTGTTATATTTTTCACCAAAATAAGGGGATGTTAGACATTGTGTTCTAGCTAAATTCTTATTTTAGCAATAATATGCTGCCTTATTTTCTGTCCTAGTCTATTGGGATGCACTTTTTAGTTGCTGTCTTCCATTACAGAGGCAGCTGTATATCATTGCTGGGTGAAATTAATTAGTGTTCCTAAACCACTTTGGGATCTTTCATGATTAAAGATCCATTTAAAATAGAAGAACACATCTAGCTCAGATGTAGCACAGTATATTTTAAACTGTTACCATATATTTGTAATTCCTCCTAATACATGTAAAAGTGGCCTTTTCTGTTCTTCATAATGTAATATTATGTGCAGTAGATATAAATGATTTTGTTTTTAATCTTAGACTCTTCTGCCCAGTTCATTATCCATAGAAGATTCTGGAATTTTGCTTCAGCAAGTGATGAGATCTTTCAACAAACATTTGTCAACTATAATCTTCGGTGACACTATTGTAGTCAGCGAGAAATTTATAAACAGTTGTACTGATCTGTTCACGGAGCTGATGCACCACAAAGCTGAAAAGGTATATTGTCCTTGTCAAGGTTCCTTCCCCACTCTGAACTCTAGGGTACAGACGTGGGGACCTGCATGAAAACCTCCTAAGCTTACTTTTACCAGCTTAAGTTAAAACTTCCCCAAGATACAAATTTAATTTTACCCTTTGCCCTTGGATTTCCACTGCCACCTCCAAACTTTATCTGGGTTTACTGGGAAACATAGTTTAGACACATCTTTCCCCCCAAATCCTCCCAACCCTTGCACCCCACTTCCTGGGGAAGGTTTGGTAAAAATCCTCACCAATTTGCATAGGTGACCAGAGACCCAAACCCTTGGATCTTAGAACAATGAAAAAGCATTCAGTTTTCTTACAAGAAGACTTTTAATAGAAGTAAAGGAATCACCTCTGTAAAATCAGGATGGTAGATGCCCTACAGGGTAACTAGATTTAAAGCATAGAGAATCCCTCTAGGCAAAACCTTAAGTTACAAAAAAGACACACAGACAGGAATAGTCATTCTATTCAGCACAGTTCTTTTCTCAGCCATTTAAAGAAATCTTAATCTAACACATACCTAGCTAGATTACTTACTAAAAGTTCTAAGACTCCATTCCTGTTCTGTCCCCGGCAAAAGCATCATACAGACAGACACAGACCCTTTGTTTTTCTCCCTCCTCCCAGCTTTTGAAATTATCTTGTCTCCTCATTGGTCATTTTGGTCAGGTGCCAGGGAGGTTACCTTAGCTTCTTAACCCTTTACAGGTGAGAGGATTTTTCCTCTGGCCAGGAGGGATTTTAAAGGGGTTTACCCTTCCCTTTATATTTATGACAGTCCTGTATATCTGGATGTGTGTATATGTGTTTCTGTTTTTAACCATATTTGAATTTCCTAGTCTGCAGTTTTTTATCCTTTTATATTTCTTGTGATTTAGGTCCGAAAACTTATTCGTGTAAAAATGGCATCATCCGATTCCATGTGTGTGTGTTATTGTCTTTCAAAGCAAATCTTGTGTAAAGTAAAAATGTTTTCTCCAATGCGCGCTCTCTCTCTCTCAGGCTTCAGATCTGAGAGTGTGTTCTTTCTACCTAACATATCACCAGTATAAAGAATTTAATTAAGTTCTGTTGATGTTGTCAGTAAAGCATCTGGCTAATTTTGAGATCTGAAGTAATGACATGAGGAAAATTTATTTTAGGACCAAGTTCTATTGTTGGATGCATTTGTGCAGCTCTCCCTGAAGTCCTAAGTGGTAAATTAAGTTGATATGATTAAGAATACATGCTGAAGGAAATCTCGGCAACTGAGGGTGCCATTTTTACATAGCCAGTTTTCTGATCTTGACCACATAATGTTCCTAAAGCACTAGATAAATATAAAATTATCATTCATTATTGAACTTTTTGTAAGGATGAGTTGAAAGATCTGTTACTCAACCTGATTTAAAGCGTCTATCAGATCAGTCCATAGACATCAAAGTTGCACAGCTGCACTGTACATCTCAGCATGTTTTACAGCCTCAGCCTTATTCTGATATCACCCACATCCAGAGTAAATGAGAACTTCATTGAAATCACTGGCATAAAACTGGTATGTGGGATCAGGCCCTATTTTAGTTTTTGTTGAAATTTATATGGTTTATAAATAAAGGAAAATGACCACTTCCTTTGTTTAGAAATTCAAGTGTGTCCTTATTAATAAGTTGAGGAAATACAAGAAAAACCTGAAAACTATATTTTCACAGTGTTTCAGGGTCAGTAATTGATTTGTTTTTATTACAACAAATTTGAGAAATACTTCCATGCACACTTACACTAGCAGAACTAGGAATCTAGGTATTATCTGATATTTTAAGATTAGGGAAATCAAAAGGTGTTGACCAAGGCTGATTTAGTGAATGATTTGTCTGGGAAATTTCTAAGTATCTTATACAATAATAAAGAGATGATTTTAAGTAGGGCTGACAAGCAATTACAAAAATTAATCTCACGATTAATTGCGCAATTAAACAATAATAGAATACCATTTATTTAAATATTTTTGGATGTTTTCTACATTTTCAAATATATTGATTTCACTTACAACACAAAGTGTGTGCAGTTCTCACTTTATATTTTTATTACAAATATTTGTACTGTAAAAGACAAGAATATTTTTCAATTCACCTAATACAAGTATTGTAGCACAGTCTCTTTATCATGAATTTGAACTTAGAAATGTAGAATTTTGTAAAAAAAAAAAAAAACCTGCTTTTAAAAATAAAACAATGTAAAATTTTAGAGCCTACAAGTCTAATCATGCCTACTTCTTGTTCAACCAATCTCTTAGACAAACAAGTTTGTTTATATTTGCAGAAGATAATGCTGCCCTCTTGTTTACAGTGTCACCTGAAGGTAAGAACAGGCGTTTGCACGGCACTGTTGTAACCAGCGTCACAAGATATTTACATGCCAGATGCGCTAAAGATTCATATGTCCCGTAATGCTTCAACCACCATTCCAGGGGACATGCGTCCATGCTGATGACAGGTTCTGCTCAATAATGATCCAAAGCAGTGCAGACTGATGCATGCTCATTTTCATCACCTGAGTCAGATGCCACCAGATTCTTCAACCTTGGGTCAAGTGCTGTAGTTATCTTTAGAAATTTCACATTGATATCTTCTTTGCATTTTGTCAAATTTCAAGCGAAAGTGTTCTTAAAACGAACATATGCTGGGTCATCAGCTGAGACTACTATAACATGAAATATATGGCAAAATGCAGGTGAAACAGAGCAGGAGACTTACAAGTCTCCACCAAGGAGTTCCATCATAAATGTAATTAATGCATTATATTTTAACAAGAGTCATCAGCATGGACACGTGGAACCATGGCCGAAGCATGAAGAGCTATATGAATCTGTAGCACATCTGGCACATAAATATCTTGCAACGCCAGCTACAAAAGTGCCATGTAAATGCCTGTTCTCACTTTCAGGTGACGTAATTAAGAAGTGGTCATCGTTATCTCCCGTAAATGTAAACAAACTTGTTTCTCTTAGCGATTGGCTGCACAAGAAGTAGGACCGAGTGGACTTGTAGGATCTAAAGTTTTACATTGTTTTGTTTTTGAATGCAATTATGTAACAAAAAATACTATATTTGTAAGTTGCACTTTCACGATAAAGAAATTGTACAGTACTTGTGTGAGGTGAATGGAAAAATACTATTTCTTTTATCATTACAAATATTTGCACTGTAAAATCAAAAATAATAAGTGAGCACTGTACACTTGGTATTCTGTGTTGTAATTGAAATCCATATATTTTAAAATGTCGAAAAACATCCAAAATATTTAATAAATTTCAATTAATATTCTATTATTTAACAGTGCGATTAATCGTGATTAATTTTTTCAAGCGCAATTGATTTTTTTGAGATAATCATGTGAGTTAACTGCAATTAATCGACAGCCCTAATTTTAAGTGACTTTTTGCCGTGTTACTTCAACACTCTGGTTTGTTTAATAGAAAATTTCACTTTATGAAAAACTTCTTGTATTTTCCATGCTATTTATTGACCAATTTTTAAAAAGTATGTTTGTTCTCAGTTTTGCTTGTGTAAGGTCTTATTTTTCCATAAGCAATTTTAACCACACAGAGAAAAGCAAGAGTAAATTGAAACCCTTCCAGCCATCTTGATTTGTCCAGGACCATCCCCATATTCTTAAATCAGTTTGAGTAAAAGAGTCCCAAACAGTTTCCCAGCTCCTCTGTTGGACCAGCATATACTCCCCTCCCTCATTAATCTCTTACTTTTGGGGGCCCTCCTTCCCAGCTGCTGGGCTGGATGGCTGCTTGTTCCCTCCACCCGCTCTCAGTGCCTTGGACGACCATCTGCTTTCACCAGTGTCTCTTATAGCAAATCTTAGAGCAGCTGGTGCCAAGCAGTGTCAGATCCCCCATCTTAACGCAGTGGAAAGCAGGATAGCTAAACCGAGAGGGTTTAGAAGGCCAGTTTTCCCATTGATCTTGTAACTACAAAAAGAGAAACCAGGGATTAGGGAGGCAGAGAAATGTCATGTGTTTTTTCCATGGTGTAAAGTTGTGATGAGGAACCAGCCTCACCTATTAGGAAGATATAAAGAGTTCAGGATATTCACGTGCACTGTTACCTTAGATTCAGTAAAATGCACACACAAACCTCTGGTGACTGAGACCCCTCCCCCCGTGAACCCCAGATTCTTTGGAGAGTTATGTTTTGGAAGATAATGTTGGTAATAGAATTAGGTTACAAAATTCAGTGCTGTAATTCTACCCAATCTATTTCAATAATTGTAGGTGACATACTTAAACACTGTTTAGGCTTCAGGATTTATGAAAATATTTGAGACGCGCACTGTCTGTAAGTTTCTTGACTGAATACATTACTGTAAAATAAATGTAATTTTTTACTCTATTTGTTTTACAGTTCTGTTCATTGATTACCTTTGTCCCATTGAGCTTGCAGGACAGGCGGTTGGGTTTGGAGGAGGAAAATAAGTGTCTTTTTCCTGTGATGCATGTAGAACACATTCTGTGATTAAGACAATATGTTCTAAAATATCTAGACTGCATGAATGGTGCTTTATTAGTCACATTCTGCATTGATATTTTGAAATTAAATGAATTCTCTTCATTCCAGGAAATGAAAAATAACCCTGTTAATTTACTCACCGAAGAGGATCTGAAACAGGCTTCCATTTTAGAAAATTCATCTGCTAACAAAAAAGACAGAAAGGATGAAAGAAGGAAGAAAGCAACAGGTAAGGTACTCAGAATTATTTTTATTTATATAAAAGAGCACCTGTCTTCCCTTGGCTATACTTATTTATAAAAGTACTCCCATTTACAATTCCACCGGTTTCACCTAACCCTCTAACTGACGATAGTTAGTCAAAAAGTAAGCAATGAAAAATCCCCACCCCGACTCACCATCCTCCTCCTTCCTACTTTCCAAATGGCAGGGGAAATTGATGGGCTTTGCAGTGTACTCCAAAACTCATCAAATCCAGACCCTTTCAGATGAAGCTGGAGTGAGTTTTAAAGTCAGAGTCTATTATACTGCTAGATCATAATTATTTGAAGGTTCACAAGGTTGTTAGTTTTTAATACGTTCTGGGCCAAATTCATACTGGGTCTAAGCATGCATAGTTCTATTTAGTAATAAAATTTCTTACAATAGATCTCAATTTGCTCCAGAATGTAAATATATATAAAATCCTTCTGAATCTTCACAGTTTTCAGTCATCTTTAATCAGGGTAAACATAATGCAATAAGTCCTAAAGACTTTAATAAGGTAATTTAGAAATTTGTTTCAGTCCCTCAGTTTTGTGTTCTGTTACAAGCAACAGAATCAAAATACTGATATATTTAGCTTAATTGGATACACAGTATAACCGTATCTTTAAATAGAACATTAGTTTCTACTCTAAAGAGATCAGGACTGAGTTGGCATGGAAACCAAACTTATTCTCACCACAATAGACAGCAGATCTTTCTAGGGTATAGTTAAAGAGGAGTTTGAACTTTAATAGAAACTGTCATAAATAGAATGACTTCCAGCCTTGCTGGTGTTTCACTCTTCATAAGCATAAACTCTGTGTGTGTGTAAATATAGGCAGGTGCGTGCATACATACATAATATATCTTGCACCCTGGCAAATTGGCTTCAGTGATGTGGTGTTTTCTTTTTGGCCATTATGTAGCATGCATGACGATGACCCACATCACCATGGTTTAAGATTCCAGATAGTGTTGTTACATGTACTGGAAATAATGACAGATACCACTTATCACCTGTTTCGATGCTCTTAATGGTGGACAGTTTAATATGTATGAAAGTCTAAAATATATCAATGGTGTGTCTTTGCATCGAAACTGAAAACAGACAATAAAATAACAAATAACATAATAACAAATAAAATAACAAATAAAATAATAATGGTCGGTTTTTTACAGGTCCATTTAAAAAAAAAAAAGGCTGAAAAACGTGCAGTGTTATAGTTCCTCTAACCAGGCTTTCATTGGATTTACGACCCATTCACCCTGTCATCTGTAAATTACAGCCTGCATGCTGTCTTGTGTGTGCTCTCCACAGATCAGATCTTGGTTGCACATGTCAACAATATAAGCAGCTTGTTTTGTGTGCTGATGCACAGTGTGAAAGATAGGATGCAAATCATTAAAGAGCTTCTTTTAAAAAAGCTTTTTATCATTTCTGCTTATTGTACTGTTAATTAAACAACCGATTCCTGCTCAACTTAATTGAGTCACAGTTCAAATAAACCTACGAAAAGCCTGTTTTTTTCCTAGAAAGTTACAAGGTGCCAGGGCTTACCCAAATATACAGCTGTTCCTAACCTACAGTTTAAGTATCACAAGTATCGCTACTATGGTCCCAGGACATGACTGAGCAGCAAGGCTTGGGAATTCATATTAAATAAATAGCCAGCAAGTTGTACGGTACAAGCATTTGAATATTGCCTTTGTATGTTTTTTGTTAAGCAATAGTAGAATTAATCCATTGTTTAGCCACTTGAGAATGTAATTATTTTTACATTAAAATTTGAGGCCTAAGACTTCAAAGTTATTTCTTATATGGAATCCAAATATTACAGAGTAAAATTTTGCAAATGAAAGAAGCAGAAACAAGGGCAGAGGAACTTACACAGTGGAAAAGGAACATACTGAAAATTGAGGTGCTATCAGCAATTGGGTAAACGCTTATAGTGCAGGATTCTGTCCTCGTAATGTAGAGTATTCATGTTAATGACATGTTAAATACAACTGCAAAAATTTTGTTCAGTAGTTTAATGGTTCAGCAGCACTGACCTGCATTAATAAAAATCTTATTTTCAGCCATCAGGTTACCTTTCTTGTGTTTTGAGCAATGGTATCTGGTTTTGTTGTCTATCGGGAACGGTTATTTTACTAATGTTGTTTACATGTTATATATCATTTGATATGCGGAGTAGTCACATGTTTACTAAAATAAAATGAATTTTCTAATGAAGTGACAATTAATAAAAGTTGTGAATCAGTATGTTTGTTTTCATGTTCTTTAGTGACAGTTTGATATTTAAATAATCTGCAATATGTAATGTAGGTTCCATTCATGATAGGTTGATAAGATTATTTCACTAGTATCTTTAACAGATAGTTCAGCCTCATTTGTTACCATAACTCTGGAAAAACATCACATTAAGGGACAATGCTTCTCTATGTACTAAACACATAATTTGTCACCAGAGGGCAGTGGAAGTGTGAGAGGAGGAGGTGGTGGAAATGCCAGAGAGATCAGGATTAAGAAAACTAAGAAGAAAGGAAGAAAGGATGCTGAGAGTGATGAGGAATCACAAGCAAGTAGCACAAGTTTGTAATTTTGTTTTTTTCATTTATACAATTTATCTCAATATAAATTGTGGTATTTCAATAAGCATTCATAGTGAACATTGTAAGCAACTCTTAAAGAAATCAAAGTAAAGGGAATTAGAGCAGAATTTTTACTAAATTCAGAAAATATAGAAAATAAACAACCTTGATTTCAAGATGCAGATCATACTTAATCTTTAAATATCTGCTGAATAATGTATGATAAACCCAGCAATTCTTACCTAATTCCAAGGTTTAACTAGCTTAAATTAGGAAATCCTAGTGATGACTAGAAATAACTGATCCTTTTTCCCTTAAAAAGGAAAACCTCCAGCCAAAAGTTTTAACTTTGATTCAGTGACCTATAGTGGTTGCAACTGAAAAATGAGCACAATTACAACACTTTTTTGTTCTTTTCTAAATAAAGGGGGAAACTTGCTGAGCTATAAATGTTGGTAAATTCTAACTTTTGAAAGGTGACTGTTATAATTGAAATATGAACGAAAACAATCTCTCAGAAGTTTTATGGTTAATCCTGCTAATTTCTCTTGTATAAGTCTCTTGAATCCCTAACAGTAACTAAAAGCAATTTCAATAGATTTGGATAGTTCACATAAGTATGTTTTATATTATAGCTGCTAGAATGCTTCTGTATCTGTGCCGCTATAGCCCCATAGTGTAGACACCTCTTCATCAGCAAAAGGGGTTTTTCTATCAATATAGTTTATCCACCTCTCCAAGAGACAATTAATGGAAGAATTTTTCCATCAACTTAGCTGCGTCTACACAGGGGGTTAGATCGACCTAAATATGGCACTCCGGGTGTGAAATTTTCATAGTCCTGAGTGACATAGCTAGATCATTTTTAAATGTAAACCAGGCCATAGTGCAGAAGTGGCCAAACTGTGGCTCGTGAACCACAAGTGGCTCTTTTACCATTAAAGTGCGGTTTGCAAGCCTCCTCCGCCCTTTCTCCCCCATTCTCCACCTACCAGACTGGGGTGGGGGCGGCGGGGAATGCTCAGGACCTCTGCCTTGCAGTGGGGTGGTGAGGTAGGAACTTCTGTCCAGCAGGAGGGAGGGTCTTGGGGCTTCAGGCCGCACCAGCTCTGGGCAGGTGTGCTCCGACTCTCGAACTTCTGAAGATTGTCATATGTGGCTTGGAGGGCCAGTAAGTTTTTCCACCCCTACCATAGTACAGTAATTCTTCAGACTGCTCATTTACTGGGTGAAATACTATCAAGGTGGGTTTTTTAAGTATAAGCCTCCATAGTTTCGTTTAAAATCAATCATTGCGTATATTAATATGTTGTAATAAATGTGTTGAGTTTAATAGCATTTGGTGAGTGCTGTTTGGCAAACTTTTATTTACTGAGCTCTTTTTCCGATGCTCAACCAGCTTGACTAACAGAAACCCCAATATAAATTCAAATCTAACCATTTCCTCACTTCCATGTCCTTAAAAAGTAGCTCCACCTCACCTGTTCATCCAACCTTGTCTTTTATTTCTTCATCACCTCTACCCCATCACTCTCAATGTTGCCATTCTTGATGCTTCATTTGTTTCTTCTTCAAGCAGGTCTGCATCTCTCTTAATGTTGCACCTTACACATGAAATCCCTTTCCTACTCTGCTTCTCCAAGTCACTCTCTTGCACTCCTTTTAATCCCCCTGAAAACTCATTTCTTCTGCAGTGTCCACAATTAAGGTAATGCTAAATTAAAAAGAAAAAATACAAAACCTCCAAAATATGTGTAAGTATAAGCGGAGTATCCATGTGATTGTATTGCTATAAACCCCCATTCCCTCCGTAATGCTTCTTGTACTCATTCATTGTGTTTTGAAATTTAGGTGAGAACCTGGCCTAAAGGGTGCTCTGTCATTTTATGTCTTGCTTTTGAGTGCTAAAACAAAAATTCTCTGCTCCAGGTAACAAATATGAGAAAAATCTAGAACTGACATTTTTATCTTTTGTGGATAATGTATTAAATATACAGTAGTAGTTTTCAAGTCATCCGAACAGAAAAATCAGTCTTTATTTGTGAGAGAGTTGTAACTGCATCGGTAGCAAAAGTCATACGGCTTAGCATTCACTGCTAATCCATTTCATGTTAGGGGTTAGAGCTACCTGACATTGCAATATCCTGTTCCACAGGGTATCTGTAACTAAAAACATCTCAATGTTCTGCCATTAAAATGCTCATGATCATTACAGGTAGGAATAAGCATCTGGAGATTCCTTTCATGTCACAGGAAGAGATTCAAGATGTTTTAAGGAGCCATATACAGGACTGCCCTGAAGAGCTTATTACAGAACTTGCCGAACATTTAATACGGTAAGTGCACTAATTCATCTTTGTAAAATTAGGTGTTTAATGATTCATTCTAAATGAATCTCCTCCTGCTTGCTTTGACTAGAAGAATAGTACTTTTGAGAGTGAGAGCAGAATTGTAGTGCTTGCTAATTGGTGTGGCTGTCTAATATTGCAAACCTCCTGGTATATCGGAAATCTGTGCTGATACGACATTCTAGGAAATGCTGCTTCTATACTGTGAGAATGACGTGAGAAAAACCCCATACTATTTTAAGTGCATCTTAACGGTCTTATCTGAAATCAGTTCAGTGACCATTTGGAACAGTTTATAAATAGCATCGTCACTGGACATCTTATACCCTTTTTTCCCCTCTTGTTTGGATTTAGGACAAGTTTTATAGGCCTGTGAAATTGAAAACATTGACAAGGACTTAACTATATCCTAACAAATTGTGTTGCTAGAAGTACGAGAAATACATAATATGTGTACATTTTAATAATCTATCATCACTTACGTGTTATTACTTTTAGATACACTTTTATCGCATTCTGGAATCTACATGTGGAACAGGAGTATAACAACTTTCTCATTAATAATGAATGTATTTGGATAAACCCTACTTTTTTAAATAGTTGTAAGATCTTCCTTTTTTTCCTGTTCTGAGGTCCCTAACAAAGAGCTACCAGGAAGTGGTACGTTCAGTATTCGTGTCTTCAACCTCTTCTTCGTCTGGAGCTAGCAGGAGGCGGACCATCAAGGATTTGCAGGAAGAGGTTTCAAATTTGTACAATAATATCAGATTATTTGAAAAGGGAACAAAGCATTTTACAGGTACAACAAATATTTCCTTAAAAAAAAAATATGAACACCTCAGTACTAGAAAGGTGATGACATTTGAATATATTAAGAAAAGTGACAAATTATTAAGGATGAAGAACTATGCTGTCATTGAGTAGAGTCTGTTTTAGCTAAATCTAGTTGTATTTAAATGATATAAATGCCAAGGAGGGAGCGGAATTACGGTGGTACTGTAAGGATGTAATCTGTATCTATGGGAAGTTGAGGATGAAACTAAGAACTGGGAAATTATGCTGAATATGAGGAAAAGTATCCTGATTGTGACATTTGTTTGATTATGGAATAGTCTCCCAAGTGAAGTAGCAGAACCCTCATCACTTGAATCACTTAAAACATGGATGAACAAATCACTAGGCAATATACTGTAGTCAACACTTCTCAAATTTCTTCACATTATGGACAACATCTTAATTTAGAGGGTCTCCCTTGCTATTCACACTTGCATAGCATCACTGTGGCAACTACAGTTCTTGCTTACATGTAAAAAGTAGCATTAGAGGAAACATGAAATATTTCTAACTGTCTCTAAAGCAGTAAGTTGTCTGCCTTTGTAACATATATTAATCATACTGTCTCTTTTTGCCTTTCATTACATTTACCCCTAGTATCTGTTCCTCTTCATCCTGCATGTGTCTCTCTGCACCTCCTTCCTGTTCTTTCTGTTTAGTTCTCTGAAGGTGCTGCCTCTTTGCCTTGTCCCTGGAACCCTGCTGCTTTAGTCCCTTTTCTCCTGCTCTTTGGGATAGTTCTCTCGTGTGGTGGCTGGCAGCTCCAGTCTCATTTGTGGTTCAGGAGCTGTCCTCAGGCACCAGTTTCTTCTCCTCCTTCTGTAGCTGCATCCCCTAGTAGTATCAGCTGCTCTGACTCCTCCATTCCAGTTGCATTTTTCAGGCCTCCAGGCTCATGCTTGCCGTGAGGAACATTGGACTCCTATAGAAGCAGCTGGAAACAAGGAGAGCTTGCACCACATGTCCAGCTACCTTTCTGTGGACCATCGGTAGTCCTTAGCCCACTGCATGGGAGCCACTGCTATAGGGAAATCTGAACTGTCATGTGGGTGGATTAGACAACATAATAAGTTACTTTCTTACTCTGCTTTTACTTACAGAAATTATATCTTACAGATGAAACACAAACTAATCTTGCCAAACACATGCTGAAGACCATTTGTACAGACATCACAAATCTTATTTTCAACTTCCTTGCTGCCGATGTAATGATGGCAGCAGAAGATCGTACTGCCATTACAAGTGAGGTATGTAGATACCACTTTTATTCCTCTTTAAGGCAATTTCATTTTAATAATTGCAATATTAATACTCTTTCCTAACTCTTTGTAACAGCTTCTCAGTTATAAAGTATTGACATGAAGATAAACCTGAAATTTATTTGTAAAACAATATTACGTTTTTTTCCCAATAGGTCAGGAAAAAGATTTTAGGTAAATTACCTGAAGAGACCAGAGGTCCTTTAACTAAGCTACATACTTCTCTGAATGGCAAGGTAAATTTCTCCAAAAACTTCCAGAGTTCTGATTATCCATTCTACTAATGTAATGCTAGTTAAAGATTCTGATAGGTGATTACTGTTGCTGGGAAGGCTGCATACAAATATCCTCAATCTGAATTCTTGTAAATCAATAAGAATAAGTAAATCTTCATTCCATAAACATTTTTAAGGGGCTAGAGGGTAATCTCAATTTATCATGTTGGCAGTAGACATAAAAATGCAGTTTCTTAACCTTTATTTAGAACACTTAATGTTTCATGTATTCTCCCCCTAAAATTCTTGAGCCCTTACCTCTATAGGCATTTAGCAATCATAATCATTAAATTGTGGACTATAGCAGCTGTAAAACAAAACTGCAAAGAACGAGTTACTGCCTAATCTTTTCTTAAGAAAAGTAGATAATATTGCAATACCTTGTAGAAGATATCCTATTGTATACTTTTTTCCACAATGTATTAGCATTAGAAATGGATTGCATTCAGTTACTTAATTTTATTCCGTTTACTATTTAAATATATAAACTTTTTTAAAGGTTTAGTAACATTTTATTTTAAACAGAATCCTTTCCCCTGTCCTTACATTGTTGATTATTTTACATCTCTATGATCTGAATGCCATAAATTTGAACAGGGAAAAACGATGTGCTATAAACTAGGGTTTTTAGCCACTAGCACAAATTAAGTGTCTATATACCTGGGTCTAATTTTTTTTTATAGAGTTTAGAAGACTTTCTTTTGTGCCTTGATTCTTCAGCAGATGCTTGTGATATCATGGTGAAAAAAGGGGACAAAAAGAAGGAAAGGTAACTTTTAAATTGTATAGCATTATATCTGCACACATTTTAGATAATTAACTTGGTAGCAGTGGAACATGTAGCTAAATAAAGGGTGGAGGGGGAGATAAATTCAGGGCTCTTCTTTTTAGACAAAGTTTAGGCATCTTTCCAAACATCAGATATTTAATTTGCAGAGAGCGTACCAAGTTTGAAGCTAATTTTTCTGATAGTGGAGATGGCTGCTTTATATCATTTTTTACAGAGATGTAATTTTAAAAGTTCAGGATGTCATTTTTCAAGAGCTTTGAGCTTGGCCTATGGCGAGCACTTCTGAAAATGCCACCCATTAATACTAAGAATCAGTCTGTTGGGAGGAAAAAAGTTAATATCCATCAAATCTAAATACATATTATAAATTCCAACCAGATAAAGAACAAAACAGAAAAAAAATGTTTTCTCTATGCACTTTTTGTTTTCTTAGGCAAATTCTGTTTCAGCATAGACAGGCTCTGATTGAACAGTTGAAAGTTACAGAAGATCCAGCTCTTGTTTTACACCTGATATCGATCCTGTTGTTTCAGTTTTCAACACAGTGCATGCTTCATGCACCAGGAAGATGTGTACCACAAATCATTACTTTCCTAACTACTAAGATCCCAGAGGTATCTTACTTACGAAATTGCATCCTGTAGTGTCTGACTGTTTTAAGGAAAGCATGGAACTGTCCAGCACTGAATAGTTCTAGGTGTAGAATATAAAGTTATAGAATCTATAGGCCTAGAATATAAAACATATAAATATATAGATATAAAATATCTATAGGTGTAGAATATAAAAGTTCTCTCTATTTTATCTGACTCAGTCTGTTTATTGGCGTTAGCACTCTAGCACAGGGATCGGCAACCTTTGGCACGCGGCACGCCAGGGTAAGCCCCCTGGCGAGCCAGGCTGGTTTGTTTACCTGCCGCATCCGCAGATTCGGCCGATCGCGGCTCCCACTGGCCGCAGTTTGCCATTCCAGGCCAATGTGGGCTGCGGGAAGCAGCAGCCAGCATGTCCCTCGGCCCGCGCCATTTCCCGCAGCCCCCATTGGCCTGGAACGGTGAACTGCGGCCAGTGGGAGCCGCGATTGGCCGAACCTGCGGACGCGGTAGGTAAACAAACTGGCCCGGCCCGTCAGGGGGCTTATCCTGGCGGGCCACATGCCAAAGGTTGCCGATCCCTGCTCTAGCACTTCCATGTGGCTTCATCTGTCACACGTCATCTGTAAATTATAGTGATCTGTGAGGATGATTCAGAGCTATGAGGTGTCTCTATGTCCAACTCTTGATTGTAGTTTAAAGGTTGTAATTTCACTGAGCCGTTGATGGGGTGGTTCCATGGGATCAACAACGTAAATGTTCACCAGAGTCTACAGCAGGGATGGGCAAACTTTTGGCACAAGGGCCATATCTGGGTATGGAAATTGTATGGTGGGCCATGAATGCTCATGAAATTGGGGGTTGGGTACAGGAGGGGATGCGGACTCCGGCGGGGGGTGCGGGCTCTGGGGTGCAGGAGGGTGGGACTGAGGGGTTCGGAGGGACATGCCACTGCTTCTGGGAGCCGCGCGGAGCAACCCCTGGAGCTTGAGGGGTAGATGAAAACCTCTGAAGGGCTGGATGTGGCTCTCAAGCCATAGTTTGCCCACCCCTGGTCTGCAGGTATCTGCAAACTTTATTGGATTCACCTTCCAAGGGCGAATCATTGAACAGGTCCTCATTCTCTAACCGTTACCTCTCCCCAAAGAAGTGAGAGTAAATCCTGACTTCTTTCAATTAAATTTTAAAGAAAATCCAAGGTATACCCAAAAATGTGCTTCAAACTGCTGTTAATTACTGCATAGCACTCCCTCCTCCAGTGGCTAAACATGCTGTTTCTGTAGTATAGATGCCTGTTCATTACTACAGACATTTAATTTTTGATATGCTATAAAATATTCATGTGACAATTTAGATTGTAAAATGTCTTGATGAAAAAATATTGGCTGACTTTAATCTCAAAGTCAGCTGTGCTCCTTTAAATAACCTTAACCCATTTCTTTAATGTTTTCCCCCCTCAGGATCAACATTCTCTTCTGGTCAAATACCAGGGATTAGTGGTGAAACAGTTGATCAGTCAGAATTATAAGATTGGACAAGGGGATGATGACACAGTGGATGATAACCTAGGGGACAAAGAAAGTGCAGACACTATTCGAAAAGAACTCCAAGAAATCACCGCCTCTCTCAAAGATCTTGTTCTCAGACCCAGAAAATCTTCTGTAACAGAGGAGTGAAGGTCTAATTAAATTTAAATCCAGGGAACAGTCAGAATATTTTTTTTCTGAAAGGAGAAAGAAGTTCACTGTGTTGGGGTCATGGAGAATGGTTGAAATAGCCTTGGCTTCCAAAACTTTGCATATAGAATTGCAGCCTGAAGGATAACAGGCAGTGGTGGATACGAATTTCGTTTTATGTTCTTTTAAAAAAAATAAATATTACCATAGTGCATGCATTGTTACAGAAGACATTAATAGCAACACTTACATTGGCAATGTAATTAAAATTCTAAGATGGAGGCTTTATGTAGTATCTCAGGAAATATTTCCTCTTTGCAGTGGTTAAGAATTCTTATATGTATATCCATAAGTTTATAACTTGCTTTTAAGTTGTGAATTCTCGCCTCCCCCCCCCCTTTTTTTTTTTTACCTGTATAGTAATTATCAAAATGTAAATGTTTGTCTGTATTCCATAGCTACATTTTTAAATTAAGGTTATAGGTATGTAATAGCATGAAATGAGAGGTCATCTTTACTTTTTTGATCTCATGAGGTGAAACTTTTTCAGGAGTGCATATCCTCCCTCCCTCCTCACCCCCCAGCAGTGCAGAGGTTGAAAATAAAATGGTCAGGCACACCTGCACAAAATGGTAAAAATATCTGATCAGTTCAAGTAAGGTTATTAACCAAGGAGGTTATGGTGCTGAATTAAGGATGAATTTCTAGAACCTTTTTCAATGAATTCCAGTGAATTCTGTGCACGCTATTATTTTTCATGTCCCTTAGCTAATGATTTGTCATAAAACTGTTAAGGGATGCAAGTGACCTGCATTGGGTTTTTGTTGGTTGGGTTTTTTTGAGGGAGTGAGGTGGGGGATTTCTGTAGTTAGTATACAAGTTAGCTTGTTCATTTAACTGAAGGGCACTCTTACTACAACAGTTTCAGATATGATTCCTAGAGAGGTTTCTTAAGGAGCAAACATCCCTTATATATGCCATTTTTATTTGAGAGAGTTTGGTTCAGAATTCTGTTCACTTTACAGTATGTTTCTTAAAAGAAATTCTGAAAATGTTAACCATTTTGGATATCTGCTACAGTGTTTTTTCTAGTGTTAACCTATTCCCAGAGGTATTTGATATTATTTAGCAATATTTTTGTCATGTCCATTGTAATTTACATCATTTATACATGGGGTATATTATATGTCTTAGAGAAAATGTGTAAAGTATACCAACTAGAATCCTTTCAATATTGGTTAATTACATAATTTTTGTGCGTCTGTTGTGTATATTTTTTTATTTGTTTTGGAGCCAGTGCAATTTTAATTTATCAGATCAGTTTCAGCTTGTTATTATTGGAGTATGCAACGATTATATATACTTGTAATGTTACCTAGTTGCTTGCATAAAATCAAGTCTGAATAGCAAGGTAATAGACATTGCTGTCCAGTGAAAATAATAGTTGTTCTAAGTAATCTCTCTCTCTTGTCAAAACTGTTTTGGCACTGAGAAAAACCTACTGTAGGGATGTTACCAAGTGGCATTGTCTGTTAAATTCCTGCAGGTCGTGTGCAGTGGTGTACACTGGGTGGAAGTCAACCAAAAATGTCCCAAAAACTGTAATTGCAACAAAAGAAAGGTGACTTGAGATTTGAGCTTTTGTCCTACTGCATTTAGGCTTGTTTTTAGAATGCAGTTTAAAAAACAGAATCACGTATACAAAATCACTAAATTACTGTACGAAATTCAATAATACCTTTACAAAACAGCAGTGATTCTGTACAAACCATAATACAAAAGAGCAGCTCCACTCTCTGCCCTCCAGACTTAGAGGCAGAGACAGTTGTGTCCATCATCCTAGCTGGAAGCCCCCATGCAACCATGTCACCTGAAAAGAAGGGCCAGAGAAAAGCAAAAGGGGAAAATATTCTGACTGCTTTAGCTTTGTTTAAAAAATAAAAAATGGTTTGCTTACAGTAAACCTACTTAGTGTCTTATTGAATCAAAATAATTCTAATTTTCCTATATTAAATCTCCACACTTTTAAATGGCATTGGTGATTTTGTAAATAATACTCTACAGTCTGATCTTCTTTATGCAAATATAATTATTTTAATAAAGTTAATGATTAAGTGGATAAAATAGTTTCTGCTGTTGACTTAACCACTGATATATTGATTGGATTTGCACTTGTTGCTTAAAGTGCAGTTGTTAATGTGCTCCATTTGATTTGTTATACTTGCAATTTTGAGTGCTTCTCTTTTTTGCTTAATACTGTTATAAGACATCATAATAATGAACTTGTTATAAGTCTCCTACATAATGCAACAGATTTTTTAAATTACAGGCCACATGATGAGAATAATACAACATTATTTAAAAAGGCTAGGAAAGAAGTACTAACACTCCAGTAGTGGTCTCTTCCTGGAATGTTCAGTGGCTAATTTCAGCACGAGTAACCTTCACCAGTGTATCCATGCCAGAAAAAACAAGTATTAGCTGGCTGGCTGTCAAGTGCAGAGGTTAACATTCCTAGTTAAAGGGGTCTTAATTATGAGAGAGAGAAATGGAATATTGTTTCCCCAAACACTTTGCTAATGAATTTTTTTCCTATGTATGATGGACTTAGGAAAGGATTCCTATTCGTCTTAGGCCTCTTATCCTAATGATCAGATGTTCAGTTCACAAAGTAAGGCTGCCTGTTTCTTTTTCAGATAAATGTACATTGTCGCTTCATTTAAATTACTCTGTAGAAAAAGGCTGGAAAGCAGCATTACTGTGGCCAACTTGCCCCCTCATTCCACTCACTAACAATACAATGCTCCATAAAATTCCTGTATATAGTCTCTTCCAAAGTTTCTTTAAAAAAAAAAAAATGTGCGATTACTTAGGGTAACTCTTGAGCTTAGCCTTTGACAAGTGGTGGCATTTGAAGACTATTGTAATATGTTGTGTACTCACAACTTAAATGACTTGCACGAGTGCAGTCTAAGATTGATGGTGTAATCTAACAGAGGCTGTCCGGAGTTTCTGATAGGTATTTAGAACTTCTGTTAAAGCTTTCTGTATACCTTTTGGTTAATGTTTTAAATGGCTTCATGTTTTTGATCTTAACATTTTCTTCACAGTAAGGGTCTGTGGGAGCTGTAGACTTTTTGAAGGAAGTTTACTCCTGTCATGGAAAGCATGGTTGTAACTGAAACATACAAGTGATGGTCATTTGAAGTTTTGGGATTATTAAAATGCTTTATTGTGAGAGCAGAAATCTTTCTCTCTGATATTTTAAATAACTGCTCATTTTTTGTAAGTGTAATTTGAAGAATACATTCAAAAAGAATACATTCAATGTAGTAGTGAAATGGGATTTTAAATTTATTTTTATGAATGATGAGGGATTTAAACCTTGGTTAAAAAGAGAAATTTGAGTGAACTGACCTGAGCGAAATGAAAGGGGGGGGAAGAGATGTCTTCAAGAGGCTCATGTTAATGACAAACACCATGCTGATATTAGTGAGGGTAGAAGTGGAAGTTTAAGTCAAATCAGGGTGGTCTGGTTATACCCGTGAAGTAGGTTGCTTTGAAGGGCTATGTGTGACAATAGCTCATTTTGGGTTCCGAGGAAAGGGCAGCTGGCTTTTAATCTCCATATTATCCTCCAATTCAGTGGTCTCCAAACTTTTTTGATCGCACACCCCCAGGAAAAAAAAAGATTGCCGAAAGCGTGCCGCCGAAGAAAAGAAAAGGGAGGGGCTGCCGCAGGCGTGCCGCCGAAGGCAAAAAAGAGAAGAGCTGGTCTGTAGAAGAGCTGCCGCAGGCACGCTTCTGCTGCCGCTGCACAATCAAAGGTAGAAGAGCTGCCGGTGGCGTGCCGGCGATGCTCCTCCTGCCGTGCACCCCCAGGGATCGTCTTGCACCCCACTTTGGAGACCACTGCTCTAATTAACCCCTTATTAGTGAAGGTTTTCACTTTGCTTTAAATGCTTAAAGCAAATCTGGCAGGTTATAGAGACATAGTATCCCTTCTGCAAGTTCCTTCCAAGAATCAGGGAAGAACACTTCCATTTGAAGTTTGGAGAAGGTAACATGCAGGGGAAAGTGAGCATATATTTCATACTTTCCCTGAAAAGAACATACTGCTTGTGTAATGTGCATACCACACAGAAGGCAGCAAGTACACGTGGTATGGGCTTTAACCAGGCCACAGCTTTGAGTCAAATTACATCCAAGCTTCCTGTCGGATAGCCCAGGGGTCCGTTGCCAATTATTGGGGTGTTTGCACCACAGGGGAGCCAATCTGCGGTTTTCTGGGCACCTCCACACACCCCCCCCACTAGCATCCCTCTCCCTTTTGTGAGTTGAAGTGAGAGGGGACCTTGACGCCCACCAGCACCACTATAGCAGGGTACTCCCCCCAGGATAGTGTCCTAGCCCCTGGTTCACATTTGATCCCGAGGATGTTAGATACAACTTGTAAGGAGATGCCCTTGGGGTGCCCATTATTTTATCTTTTGGTAGCTGGAGCCTAGATCAGCCAGTTCCTGCACTGAGCACTTGCGACAAGGAGAGGGCAGCATGAGGTCGGCTGCCTCCACTCCATCCCCATATGGGCTACCTAGGAGTTCATCCAGCCCTACACTGAGATTATCCAGGAAAAAGTTGACACCTATATGAGTTGCACCTTAATCTGTAAAGCCACCATTTGATGAACTGGTGGCTGAAGGACCGGCAGCTGGAGGAGCCCAGGCGTTGGGTGCCCTCCCATCCCACACCTGCAGACACCCAGCATCTTCTGTGATCCTACATTCATGCCCCCCTTGTACTTCTCCTCAGGCCTGACCCTGGAGCCCCTACCATCGCTCCCATCAGTACTGCCCACCTGAGATCATGTGGCCATACTAAGGGGAGTCTGCTGAACCCCAAACACATGCAGAGGGGGTTAGAACACTGGAGCTCTTCCAGTGGGCCCTAACTGTTCATGACTTCACCCTGTTGTGCCTGACCATTGTTTTACAGTACTCCAAGCTGATCTAAAATGGACTGCATCAGCACAACAGGACAAGCTAAATACAGCTAATGACTCAGATAACTAATAGGAGAGAACTTAATTTCACCAGAGTCGATGAGACACCGTATGTTTTCACACATTTAATAAAGCAGTCAGTCACCGGGCAATGGACCTGATAAAAATCCTGGCAGTAGTGATCAAGAGAATGATTAAAGAGTTTAACTAATTGAAATGAATTAGGCATAGATCACCTAGAGAATTTATTGCCTGGAATTGGCAAATTTTACCAAAGTCTTCTGACTGCCTAGTACAAATAGCCAACGTAATATGTATCTAAACAGAGTAACAGAATTCTTTTGGCAATGACATAAACAGCACTTCTGTCCACTTGACATGCAAGGCTTGATTCAGCACTGAAATATGTTGGTTCCTGGTGGTGTAATCCCGGGAATATAATGGTGGAAAGTCAGCATTGCCTTGGGTCTGCAGTGGCTCAAGCCACAACCAGCCATTCTTGTTTTAAGTTGCTTAATTTCAGCCTATAGTTTCAACTGGATATAATAATTCACTGAAGGCCTGCACAAGGCCCTATGCAATGAGTAAGCTGTTCTGTAGCCCCATGTGGTGGATAGAGTGACCATAGCCCAAGCACTGGAGAGGTTACCTCTGCTCCAATTCTAATGAGCCCAGCACTGAGATGAGCCTTGGGAGGGGTCCAGAGAGAAGCCATTCACTTCCACTGATGTGGATCCAGTCGCCAGGAACCCCTGCCTAGAGGGACAGCACAACCCTTCCAGTCTATAAACTGGACTAGCAGCAAGAAGTGGTGTTGTATGGAGTCTCAAAGCCTTTCCCTAAATTGGAAGAGTATAGAATTTTAACCTCTCCCTTCTACCCCTACCCACAGACCCCATGCAGAATACCCCAAAGACTGTGTAATCAGGGTTTTTAATGTTAGTTCTGAGTTTTATCAAATGTCTTGGATGCACTTTTCAAAGAACATGTGCATAAACTATCTGAGGATGAACATGTTCAGTCTTTCTCCTCCCCCCCACCCCCCCACTAAATTTTTACTAAAGCTCCTCTTTCTTTCTGGCTAGATCTTTGAAATTCTGTCTCTGAAATATGCTCCTTTAAGGACCTCCTATGTGGTATGTTTTTGTCTATCGTTTGTAAACACAATACGACAAAGAATGATTTTGGTTCAGTGACAAGGGAACTAGCTATTTGCATGTCATGAGGTCTAAGGGAAACAAACTGACCCTCAACCTTCTTCTGCAGAGCCAAAATCTGATGGGATCCTCAAATAGCTCTGGCAGATTATTCTGTTTATTTTGGATTTAATGAATGCTTATTTCTGTGAAAGCTAATCTATTTTCCCCCTTTATTATGCTACACAAGTCATAAGAAGCAGCAGCTTGAAACCAAATGTGAGTATTGTAGTAACTCCTTTCCCTTATTATTTACCTTTCCACTGTTTTATCTGATAGATTTAGGTCGATATACCAGGTAACCAATTTAAAGTTTATGAACAACTAAGCAAGAACCTTTTCTCTTTGGTCATAGATTAATTGACTTTTTTGTTCAGTTTCTAGTAGTGTTTTGTTTTAATTACTTTTATATAACTGATGGGATTTGTGACAGAGACATGAAAGTACATTTTTCTTAAGAATAGTACTACATTTTCCTTTAAATTGGCTGAGCCCGTATACTTTAGATGCATCTTCCTAGGACTGCCTACAGAATTCCATGAACATATTCAAACAATCTTGGTTGTATGTGCCATGAAGCACTCCCAAGATTTTTGCTGGTTTAACTGTTATCAATTTATTAATTTTTTAAAATTAGATAACTAGGATTTACTGTGCTAACTCCAAGAAACCAACCAATAAACTGTAGATGCTGTTTTCTTCTATACATACATACAATATGATGGGGGCTAATTTAGCTACAACTAATCAGGAGAAAGATCTTGGAGTCATCGTGTATAGTTCTCTGAAGACGTCCATGCAGTGTGTAGCAGTAGTCAAAAAAGCAAACGGGATGTTCGGAATCATTAAAAAAGGGAGAGAGAATAAGACGGAGAATATCTTATTGCCCTTATATAAATCTATGGTACGCCCACATCTTGAATACTGCGTACAGATGTGGTCCCGTCATTTCAAAAAAGATATACTGGCTTTAGAAAAGGGCAACTAAAATGATTAGGGGTTTGGAACGGGTCCCATATGAGGAGAGATTAAAGAGGCTAGGACTTTTCATCATGGAAAAGAGACTAAGGGGGGATATGATAGAGGTATATAAAATCAGGAGTGGTGTGGAGAAAGTGAAGAAGGAAAAGTTATTTACTTGTTCCCATAATATAAGAACTAGAGGCCACCAAATGAAATTAATGGGTAGCAGGTTTAAAACAAATAAAAGGAAGTTCTTCTTCACTCAGCACACAGTCAACCTGTGGAACTCCTTGCCTGAGGAGGTTGTGAAGGCTAGGACTATAACAGGGTTTAAAAGAGAACTAGATAAATTCATGGAGGTTAAGTCCATTAATGGCTATTAGCCTGGATGGGCAAGGAATGGTGTTCCTAGCCTCTGTTTGTCAAAGGGTGGAGATGGATGGCAGGAGAGAGATCACTAGATCATTACCTTTATGTTCACACCCTCTAGGGCACCTGGCATTGGCCACTGTCGGTAGACAGGATACTGGGCTGGATGGACCTTTGGTCTGACCCAGTATGGCCGTTCTTATGTTCTACTAGCCAACTTTCATAGTACCTGCCAGTGAGAGCAAGCGCTCAAATGTACCTTTACGATGAGGTAGATCACTTTTTTAGACCCAAAGTTACTTTCATCGCATATAGTGGAATGTTCTTGTTGTATATTTAATGTAAAATTAACTCTAAAATTTAGAGTTTAGACAAAGTTTAGACATGATATAAATCTACATCAAACATTATTTCATCCTTTTTCCTCCACTATTATGTTATGTCTGAGTCTCAGCTTTTTAAAGTTCTCTGCCACAGATTTGGGACTTGAAGTGTTAAGAACTATATTGAAAGGACATGCCAGTGCTTAGTAAAAAGTGTTCTTTTCACACTGTCTGTTCACACTGTCACATTAAAAAGCTTTATGGATAATGAGATTAAAATTTTCCGTAATTTAAAGTCAACAACTTATATTAATCACTGTACTATCAGATTTTATGTATGTAGTACATTCAGGCAATTTTTCTTTTACTAATAAGCCCCAAAATCATACTTTGATAAAACTGTCAAACGCAATTTAGATTGTAATCAAATGACTTTTCTAAAATACACTATTTTTGTAGCTTTCCTTATTTTCAGCAGATGTTACGTGCCTAAAGCTTAACACAGAACCTCTTATATTAAGAAAACAACTTTGTGCTATCTGTTTTGTTCACATCTAATATTCATTCCCACATTTGTCTTCATTATGTATGATTACTTGACATTTCTTGAAATATTTTAACAGAACAGGCTGGAACAGATTTATATATTAACGTTATCACATTGCTGACAGTCTTGCCATATAATTTTATTGCACTGTCACAAAAGTCACTTAGATTTAAGATTGCATAATTTGTAGAAATTTAAGATGGCATGTGAACCTTCTTGAAAGAGTAAAGAGAATTGAAATAATATGCTGTTTGAAAGAGACTCTGACCAGTTTTGACCCATGGTGTCTCAACGTTATTTGCAGGCAGACAAGTTTAAAGATTTTATTGATTGATTGGTGGACATTGTAAGGTTCAGAGTCAGTTGTCCTTTTGGCCACAGTTTTCCTTTTGCTGATAAATCCAGTTTTCTTTCAATTTCTTGGCTTTTACTTTTATGGTTGAATTTTACTTCTCATACAAGTTGAAGTCTAACAGCATTGGCTAACTGTGGATAAAAAGAGGGGAAAAATGCGAACTCTCCAGAAGAGTTCTTCCAATAATGTAAAGTTTTAAGTCAAGGGGTGAAATCCTAGCCCCATTCAAATCAATACAAAACTCCCATTGACTTCAATAGGGCCAAGATTTCATCTGAGGGTTGGGGCCAAGAGCCTTAGGAATGGGATCATCCTTAATTCTTGTAGACATTTCCCTGCTGGTTGGCTGAGAAATGAGATTGTGTAGAACTCCCATTGAGTCAATTCCCTTCCAGTCTAGCTATCCTATGGAGCCCCAAACACTGAGTTTGCAGAGTGGAATGATGCATTGCATCTTATGTTCTACTTGTCTCTCTCTCGGGGGGGGGGGGGGGGAACTGGGCATCCAAAAATATTTAGGTGGCTTTTGAAAATCTCAGCCCATATATTTAAACTTTACCTTCTTGAAAAATCCTATAGAATTGAAGAGGGGTAAAATTATTAAGGTTTCACAGAAATGTAATAGGGCAGCATAGAAGTTACTCCACAAATAGAGGGAATTTAATGGAGAATTATATAAACTATCCCACAGAATTCTATAGCAGGGATATAGTCTTCTATGAAATTGTACAGTGTGGTCCAAAAAAGTAGTGGCTGAATCTCCCCATTGTTTCCAGTTTCCTTTTCTTAGAGCTAAAGCTTTTATTTGACTCTAGTTAATATGACTTCTTCAAAACTTTCCTTCTATTTGCATCTTGCTTTGTCCCACCTTTCGCAGGCCTCTGCCCTTGAGTTGTGTTGTTTTTTAATTTTCCCCCGTCAGGTTCTTCATCACTTCAGTGTTCCTTCCTACTCCCCACACCAGCTAAAATTCTAGACCTTGTCATTTCAGTAGGTTTTCTGAAATACAGCAGTGTTGTCCTGTGGTTTATAACTCTTTAAGCAACTTAATAGTTACCACTAAAATGGTGTTTGTAACTCTCCATTTACTCTCGCAGTGCAAGGGTACTTCTCTCTCCACCACCTGTGGAGTGCATTTTTACTTTTGTGTTTTAATTTGTCCTATTTAATTTTTAAATAGGTCCATCTGAATTTGTTTTACATCCATCTAAGTATGAATGAGTTCTTCTGGTTCCATTAGGTATGGGACTCTGGTTCTCCTTTCTCATTTGATCTCTTAGTTGAGGTATTGTGTGTTAATTATCTATGTTCTGATTAAATTTGCTGAATTAAGGTCAAATGCCTGCCATAATTAAATTTCTGTACCTGAATTCTGTACTCTCCAACTAGCACCACCCCACAGTTGCTGTGTACATGGGGCTGCGGTATGTATCCTGTTATGCAGCTCCAGTGTAGCAATGTTCTTAAAATAAATACGGGGTCAAGAGCAACATTACACCCTGCTGTAAGCCCACATATTTAGTTACATTTATCCAGGGGCCAAACTTCACCGTTTGCTTTGTGAAAAGCTGGTGGAAATGATGTTTCACCATTGAATAAAATCAGGAATATCAGTGTTTTGCATATGATACACATACTCTTAAACTAGCAAATGCTGATGTGCACAACTCTATTCCCATGTCCACTTAGGATTACTATTAAGAGGCAACAGGATGAGTAGGATTTCCAGCACCTCCGCAGGACAGGAAGCTCAGTTGACTGAGTTTCTTACACTATTTTCTGTGGTAACGAGGTTAGGTCATGTAGTACAGGAAAGAAACATATTTTGAACTTAGGTTCTCAAAGGTAAGTCCTTTCAAGGCAGTTTGTTTCATGTACCAGAGTGGAATGCAGAGTATTATATTCCTATTTGGGAAAAAATATTTCTTTTGATCTACATTTCAGAAAGACTCTGGGAATGGGTGCCTCATTAAGAAGCAGAAAAATAGTGCTTTAGGCCCCCTTCTACACTGGTGGTGGTTTTAAATCTCCCATCATTGTTTTAGCCTTGGGTGAACCTTCTATTTCTACCAGTCTGTCTGTCTGGGCTGATACCAAAAAAAATAAAAAGCACCTTCTCTTCTTCGAGTGATTGCTCATGTGTATTCCACAATAGGAGTGCGTACTCGCCACATGCACCGGTGCTGGAAGTTTTTCCCCTAGCAGTACCTCCAAGGGGAGCACCCCCGGCGACTCCTGGAGTGGCACCTGCCTGGCGCAGTATAAGGGGAGCGGAGTGCTCCCCCCACCCTCAGTTCCTTTTTGCTGCCAGTGAAGGTGCGTTGGAACTACTCTGCTTCAGCTTTGCTGTCGCTTGTCCCCAGAACTGTTGGTTCGTTCAGCGTTAGTACCTGTAGTTAGTTAGCTGTTTAGTTCATCACTGACACTGGGCCAGGGCATGCCCCAGGGTTTAAGTCGTGCAGCTCTTGTAGGCGTTCTATTCCATATCAGTGAAAGATGCAAGATTTGCAAGTCGTTTAAGCCTCAGACCAAGAGAAAGGGACATTAGGCTCCAGCCCGTCCTGATGGAGTCGGCACTGACCCCTGACCCCGGCACACCGCTCTGAACCGGCACCACGGTGTCAGTACGTGGCGACCCTCCGGTGCCATCGACCAGTCGGCA